GGATCTTCAGTCTGTGAGACTCTAGGAGACTGGTTTTAAGCACAATTCAGGGAAACCCTTCCAGAGGACTTATAATTTATGTTGTTTGTTATTTCTAGTGGAGATTCAAAGATGGATGCCTGGCACAGGGAAGATTTCTACTTGTAAAGGATAGTCATTATTTTAAATCCTTAAAAAGTTGGTATATTTGCCAGGTGCTAGTGGTTCACACCTATACTCAGGAGGCCGAGATCCGAAGATCATAGTTTGAAGCCAGCCCAGCAGGAAAGTCCATCTGTGAGACTCTTATCTCCAATTAACAAAAAAAAAAAACCAGAAACGGAGCTGTGGCTCAAGTGGTAGAGTGCTACCCTTGAGCAAAAGATGCTCAAGCACAGTACCCAGGCCCTGAGTTCAAGCACCAAGAACAGTGCGTATGCGTGCACACACACATATACACACACACACATACAAAGTTGTACACTAAAAATTTTGTACACAAATGCATGACAGTACATTTTTGGCCTGAGGTTTTTAGATCCTACAATGTCAACTTTTCAAGCAGCTTTTATCCAATCTACACCTTTCATTCCAATTTTTTCTATTAGTTTCGTTAAAACATCCTGCTATTCACCTAGTTTTTCCACTCAATGATAATTTCATTGAGGAACACAAAAATAAACTTATAATATTCATTACCCCTAGAGCCATTTCTCTCTTTTAGTGATGTATTGATAATGTTGGGCCTTTCTCTCTACGTCTCATCCCTTCCCAGACATCTTCAAGGCTGGCTTGCGTGCAAACTTGCTGGGCACCTATGCTTAGTTCTCTCTCTCACAGATGATTCTCACTTGCTTTAAAAGATTTCATAACCTGTTCTGATTTTATAGCCATTGAATACACTTAAAAAATAATAGGGGATTTCCTGATGGGTGAAGCTGGGCTATTCATTGCGAGATTTGTCATTTTTGCATGGGCCCTGCTGCAATGTCTCTATCCTTCTTGTCCCATTTGGAAAGACATTTAATTAGAAACATACTATGAACTACTATACTGTGGCATTTTACCATGAAATTCTTTGTAAATGTATCAGTAATCCATATTTAACATATGTGTGTATGAGAGAAAGAAAGAAAGGAAAGAAAGGAGGGAAGAGGGGAAGGAAGGAAGGAAGGAAGGAAGGAAGGAAGGAAGGAAGGAAGGAAGGAAGGAAGGAAGGAAAGAAGGAAGGAAGGAAGGAAGAGAGGGAAGGAAGGAGGGAGGAAGGGGGGAAGGGACTGAGGGAGGGAGGGAGGGAGGGAGAGAGAGAGGAAAGTACTGAATTCTTCATTACCACACTTGCATTAAAATTTTCAATGGCTGAATTAATCTCAGTTTATCAGTCAGTTGTTCAAGTATGTCCTTGAAGTGAATTCAAATATGATGAGGCTTTTTTGTTTTAGGGGCCAGGGCGGGGTGGGTTGTTTTGTTTTGTCTGACAAGGCAAGCAGGTTAGGTAGGCTGCCTCTTTTTTGTCATGGACCAGATTTGAAGGCACAAAGTTTTATCAGTTTCTGTCCAGTTTGATTGGAAGTTAATCTTTTAGTGTGACTCTGCACCTGACCTGAATTACGCCACTGAACACATATCCTGCCTATTTTAATGGAGGAGAAAAGAGAGAAAGCATTAGCAGAACAATGATCTGCCTACTCGATGGGAAAACCTCCTTCTTTTTCAACAACGCCAAGGTAGTGGTTGGATCTGCACTGACAATAGGGCAAATCATCCTGCTCTTTGTGTGAACATCTCCATCATCGTGGCTTTTTATGTCCCAGTGTGAAGGACAACACACACTACATCCCATAGTAGCTACGTATATCAGGTAAAGTTTTGATTAGTGTGATTCCATCCAACACATATGCTGGGCTTCAGGATTTGACTACATTTACTTTAAAATCCTGTATCTATTAACATTTATACCATGTAGCTACTTTTATACTTACAAAATAAACCAATACATCAGGAATTGAGAAAGGACTCAACTCTTTGTGCAAGAAAATGACTATTACCTCTTGAAGTTTTCAATATATTTAATAGTGAGTCTGTAGGATGATTTAAAAATCTAAAAGGCCTAACTTTTCCATTTCTAAGTTTGGAAAGACAATTTCTAAAATTTTAGTATCTTAGCAGATTCATTGTGTTATGGTTAAAAGTGATAGAATGCCTGGTGTTTCTTTATTATCCTCCCTCCTTCTGGCCAACACTTAGGTTAATGTGAGTACTTGCTACACTATTGAAACATAATAATACTTAAATGTAGAGTAATACTAAAAATATAGCGACAAATAGGAGTAAATAATCATACTCACAGAGGCTGTCCAACGTACCACGTCAGGCTATGGACACATATTAGCATACCCAGCCCTCACCATAGTCCTAAAAATCACACTGTCTGTACCCCCATTTTGCAGAGAGGAATCCGAATCATGAAGAAATGAGGGCACTTGCCCAGTGTTACAGGTGTTAAACACTGCAGCCACAATTCATGCCCATCTCAGCACTCCTTGGGCTACACATCTAACACCTCTGCAGAGCTCCATTCCCACGTCTGCCCTGCTCCACCCGGCTTCTCCCCTTACTTCTCGTGAGCAGTACAGCCTCTACCAGGCTTTCTACCTTTTCTGCCTCCTAAACACAGTTTCCACTTTATCACTTCCAAAGACATCATGTTTCTGTGTGTGTGCGCACCAGTCTTGGGGCTCGAACTCAGGGCCTAGATGCTGTACGTGAGCCTTTGTGCTCCAGGCTAACACTGTATCCCCTGAGCCACACCTCTACTTCCAGCTTTTTGGAGTAGTTAAGTGGACATAAGGGTCTCACAGACTTTCCTGACTGGGCTAGTTTCAAACCATGACCCTCAAATCTCAGCCTCCTGAGTAGCTAGGGTTGCAGGCATGAGCCACTGGTACCCATCCCAAAGGCAGTGTTTTTAAAATTACTGTTTGCCTATTGGTTGCCTTTCTTCCTTCTCTGTCCTTTTTCAGGACCCTGCTGGGGCAGGGCTGGGTCTGGTGCCTTTACAGATATCTGTAAATATTCATGTCTAACATTGTCAGGAAATTGCCCAATGACTTGTCATTCTCCTCCCCTGCTGGGGCTTAGCATTCCTGCACCCTGAGTAATACCCAATGCACAATAGTTGTAGATGAGTCCATGGACATTGCACTGATGCCATATATACATAGTTTATCAATGAACACCTCACGTATATACCATGTGGCAAAAAGTGAAAACAAAGAAGTATCTAATAGATCAGACCCAACATACTCATTCAAGTGGAAATATAATTACCCATTAATCATGTATGCACACAAATTAAATACCAAAGATAGCATAAATATGGTTTTGTAGCTCTTTTTTCCTCCTATTTGATTTAAAAGTCAACTTAAGGCTTGAATTTGTACTTACAATGTTAAAATGGAGGTGGCTCAGGAAAGGAGCACATCTCTTGTGCAGTAGGGTATTGAAATTAAATTATCTGCTTTCCAGGTGGAGGTTTCTGGATATGAGTCACGTAACTCAGAGTTTCACAATGGAGGTGAAGAACAGAGGCTCCAGGCTGGGTAAAACCCATCCAACTTGGGGTTGACTACAAATCCTTCCTTAGTCATACCAGTACTAAGAATGTGTCTTCTGGAGAGTCAGAGAAGAAAACATCCAACTGCAAAGTAACTTTTTATGTAGGCAGAGCCAAATAGCTGTTCCTGCAATAATGCCCTACATTTAGGGGCTGACACATTAAAATATATCACATGCCACAGTCCACTCAAATACGTGAGATTTGTCTTATTTAAGCATTTTGGCCTTGTTCTCAGAGACACATAGCTTTCACATCCTTGTGGAGTTTCAATCTAAGGCATCAAAGCTAAAGTCAAGAAGACAGAGCTAATACCTGAATAACAGCACATTCAGATGTGCCGAAGATGAGTCACATTTCCAGAGAACTGTCAAACACTTAGTAGTTTGGGGAGGAAAAAGATGGATTAAAATAAAATGTTTGAAAATTATAGCTTTCTTTCCCTACTCTGAACTTTTCCAGGAGCCCCAAGAGAAGAAAATAGCCTAGGAGAATCAAGATAATAATAGAGAAACCTCATCTAAAGAGAAAAGGGCATCTCCATACAGTGACTGTAAAAAAAAAAAAATTTAATATGTCTGGAAAACCATATTAAATTTATCTATTCAGAGAAAGAAAGTCAGGATGAATTTCCTAAAAGAATAGTAATTTCTAAAGACCTGCGAATAAAAGAAATACTTGTAACCCTATGACATAGGAAAGATTAAAACAGACTTAAAATATGTATAGGAAAATTAATCACAGGAAGCCAGTGTAACAATACTAGGGTAGGCAAAATATGAATCTGGATGAAGAGCATTTTCAGTTCCACAAAGATAGTTCTGTCTCAGTCTTCAACGCCTGTGAATGTGTGACCTTTCGTGACCAGAGAGACCTTGTGGGGGAGAACGCAGGGATGTGGAGATGGTACATTTCCTGGGTGACTCCAGTGGCTCACCCAGACTCTTCCTGAGATGAGGACACTAGGCCCAGAGTCCCAGAGGAAGCTGTGATGAGAAGAGCGCAGGGTAACACCTGCGACAACCGTTCTGCACCAGGCCTCGGTGCCCAGCCATTGTGCTCAGCCACTGTGCCCAGCCGTTGTGCACCAGCCTTCCTGCACAGCCCTGGTGTATAGCCATGGTGCCCAGGCTTCCTGCCAGCCCTTGTGCACAGCCCTGGTGCCCAGCCCTCCTGCACAGCCCTGGTGCCCAGCCCTCCTGCACAGCCCTCGTGCCCAGCCCTGGTGCCCAGCCCTCCTGCACAGCCCTCGTGGGAGGGAGGAGGCAAGGGAGCGACTCTGAACCGCGAAGCCCTCCTCCCTCCACGAGGACGCCGCTGGCCACAGGCCTCCTCCTCGGGACCTGCTCCACGCGGAGGCCCCGTGTCTCCTTCCATGCTTTCCATTCACTTTCAAGTACATTGTCTACTTTTTACAATAAGAAATAAGAATGCGGACACTCTCGTTTTGCCTTAAAAATAACAGCCGTGGGAGCGCAGGTAGGACTCCGTGGGACGGAGGCGAGACTCCTGGAAACCGTGGAACAGCTCCTTGTTGGAGAGAACCCCAGCCTCTGGTCACGGGAAGAGGACAGGAAGGGAGCGGCGGGGCTGCACTGCGGGACTGCACTGCGGGGCTGCACTGGGGGGCTGCACTGTGGGGCTGCACTGTGGGACTGGACCGCGGGGCTGCACTGCGGGACTGGGCCGTGGGGTTGCACTGCGGGGCTGCACTATGGGGCTGCACTGCGGGACTGCACTGTGGGGCTGCACTGCGGGACTGCACTGTGGGGCTGCACTGTGGGACTGCACTGCGGGGCTGCACTGCGGGGCTGCACTGTGGGGTTGCACTGCGGGGCTGCACTGCGGGGCTGCACTGTGGGGCTGCACTGGGGGCTGCACTGCGGGGCTGCACTGTGGGACTGCACTGCGGCGCTGCACTGCGGCGCTGCACTGCGGGGCTGCACTGCGGGGCTGCACTGTGGGACTGCACTGTGGGGCTGCACTGTGGGACTGCACTGTGGGGCTGCACTGTGGGGCTGCGCTGCGGGGCTGCACTGTGGGACTGCACTGTGGGGCTGCACTGTGGGACTGGGCCGTGGGGTTGCACTGTGGGGCTGCGCTGCGGGGCTGCACTGTGGGACTGCACTGTGGGGCTGCACTGTGGGACTGCACTGTGGGGCTGCACTGTGGGACTGCACTGTGGGACTGCACTGTGGGACTGGGCCGTGGGGTTGCACTGCAGGGCTGCACTGTGGGGCTGCACTGCGGGGCTGCACTGCGGGGCTGCACTGCGGGACTGCACTGCGGCGCTGCACTGCGGCGCTGCACTGCGGGACTGCACTGTGGGGCTGCACTGGGGGCTGCACTGCAGGGCTGCACTGTGGGACTGCACTGCGGCGCTGCACTGCGGGGCTGCACTGCGGCGCTGCACTGCGGGGCTGCACTGTGGGACTGCGCTGTGGGGCTGCACTGTGGGGCTGCGCTGCGGGACTGCACTGTGGGACTGCGCTGCGGGACTGCACTGTGGGACTGCACTGCGGGGCTGCACTGCGGGACTGCACTGCGGGGCTGCACTATGGGGCTGCACTGGGGGCTGCACTGGGGGCTGCACTGCGGGGCTGCACTGGGGGCTGCACTGCGGGGCTGCACTGCGGGGCTGCACTGCGGGGCTGCACTGGGGGGCTGCACTGCGGGGCTGCACTGGGGGCTGGACCGCGGGGCTGCACTGCGGGACTGGGCCGTGGGGTTGCACTGTGGGGCTGCACTGTGGGGCTGGACCACGGGGCTGGACCGCGGGGCTGCACTGCAGGACTGGGCCGTGGGGCTGCACTGTGGGACTGCACTGTGGGGCTGCACTGCGGGGCTGCACTGTGGGGCTGCACTGCGGGGCTGCACTGTGGGGCTGCACTGTGGGGCTGCACTGCAGGACTGGGCCGTGGGGCTGCACTGTGGGACTGCACTGTGGGGCTGCACTGCGGGGCTGCACTGTGGGGCTGCACTGCGGGGCTGCACTGTGGGGCTGCACTGTGGGGCTGCACTGTGGGGCTGCACTGCGGGGCTGCACTGTGGGGCTGCACTGTGGGGCTGCACTGCGGGACTGCACTGCAGGACTGGGCCGTGGGGCTGCACTGCGGGACTGCACTGGGACCCGGAGGCTGGACCGCGAAGCCTGGCATGCTTCTGCTTGGGGTGAAAGGAGAGTCGAGCCTGGGTCTTGGAAATCATCGGAAGCAAAACGCAGCCAACACTGGGCGATGTGGAAACTCCATCTTCCGCGAAATTTGCCTCCGTTTGCTACCATCTTGTTGACGGTTCTGTTTGTCTCGAATCTTCTTCAGTGGTATCCCTGAAGCTTTTCTATACCCCCCTCCCCCTCCTTCTCCCTCCCTCTCTCCTTTTCTCTCCTCTCTCTTGCTCTCCTCTTTCTCTCTTTTCTCTCTCTCTCCCCCTCTCTTTCTCCCTCTCTCTTTTCCCTTCCCCTTTTCTTCTCCTTTCTTCCTTTTTTGGTTTTGGTATTTAAGAGATACTGGTTGTGTAAAGCAAGTGGTAAATTTTTACTTTTTCCCTCTTTGACTTCCTGAAAAAAAAAATTGTCGCTATTTCCTCACGAAATGTCTGCTAGAGTTCACCAGTGACACCAGCTGGACGCCCAGTTGCTTTGCGACTTGATTTTAATAGCTCATTAGGTGTCTTTCTTTTATACCAAATTTGGGAAGTTTTAATCCTCAAAGTACATGGACATTCATCATTCCTATCATCCTTTGGTTTTTCCTCTCCGTTCCTGTAATGATGGATCTTTCATTCTTGAGATTGCTATAGGGGCGGGGGACCCAGGATTGAACCCCAGCCTTGCACTCCGCCACTTGAGCCATTTCCCACTTCTTTGCTTTTGCAGGCAGAATCTCACACTTTTCCTACCTGACAAAGATGTTCCTACCTCTGCCTGCTGTGTAGCCACTATACCCAGTCCATTTGTATTTTTGCCCTAATTAGTACTACTTATCAGTTTTATTACTCTTACTGAAGAATCATTTTTCCATCTTGATTTTTTTCTCCACTGTTATCTTTTTATCTCTTCAAATGATTTCTGATCTTACCTCTATTATTTGACTTCTATAACCTTCTTTAGGTTTCATATTCCCTTTACTTCCAGCTTTGGAAAGTAAATTTAAATCATTAATTTTAAACCTCCCACCTTTCCCAATGTGAACATTTCCCACTTAGCACTCCTTTACTCTCTTCTTAGATGTTTACTCTCTCCCTAAACGTTGACATGCTGTGACCTTAATTTTTCTTTCTGTTATGTTGGTCCTACTGCTTGAATTGAGGGCCAGGGCACTATCCCTACGGTTCTTTTGCTCAAGGCTCATGATCTACCACTTGTGCCAGAGTTCCACTTCTGTTTCTTTTGGCAATCGTTTATTGGAGATAAGAGTCTCATGGACTTTCCTGCCCTGGGCTGGCTTTGAATTGCAATTCTCAGATCCCAGCTTCCTGAATAGTTTAAGATTAAAGGCGGGAGCCACCAGCACTAGGATGATTTTATTTATTTTTATTTGATTTTATTCTTAATTTATTGTGGATGTTTGATTCCTTTTTCACACAATGGCAAGCAACCTTGCTAAACACATGCCACCTTTAAAAAATTAGTAACAATTAAAATTTTTAAAAATTAACTTAAAATGTTAACAATGTTAACTTACATCGAGCGCAGTGTGTGTTTGCTGTGGCTTGGTAGTACCACAATCACTTTTGCCTAGCTTTGGGGGCACTATTTGCTCTGGGGAGGTCAGATTTTCATATAATTGAGAGCTGAAAAGCACTCAAGATCACACAGTGACTGGAAAATAATGCAGGGCTGTCAGCTGATCCTCTTCAACTCCAGTGTGTCGTGCAGGTATGGGAATTTAATTGTTTTTTTATTCTTGAAATTTTATTTGATTTTTTTTTAATTTATTTTTTGGCCATGCTTATTCATGACCAATAGTCAATATGTGGATAATAGAGGATTTCTGCATAAGTGCAAATAATTATCTAAATGCAAATATATATGCATATATATTTGTTAATGCTCTCTCTTTCCTAGCAGGCTTTGAATCTCTTAAGAACAGTGATGTTGGACAGTAGGGATCTCACAGGATTCTTTTGGCATCAAGAAGTAGATGATTAGTAAACTGAATATGAAGGGAAAATATTTATACACACAATTCCTATCATGGTTTTACTTTATTTATTTTACTTTCTGATAGTACAAAAAGCAAAATATACTTAGTAGGATATAGACTTTGGATTTTGACTTTGGGTCCTTTCCAAGGACAGTGCTGTGTAATAGGTTCCTGTCCTGATGTCAGCAGTAACTTGCAGCCCCGCCCACCCCTGGACCACAGAGGAAGCCATTGGTGCCTTACAGGATTCTCTGTTGCTAAGCTAGGTTGTGTGGAAGATTACATGTGTGCAGGGCACAACAACTTATGACATCTCCAGTTTGCAATTGCAATATAGCAATTGTTAGGGAACATCTGCACATTTAATTGCAATAAGCATTATACCTACAGATTGTGCCCACACACATAAATATCCTAATCTTTCAGAAACCTACTATATTTACAAATGGGAAAGGGCAAAGAGACTTTCTATCCTTACTCTCCAGATTCAGTTCCACATATTTGCTCTCAAAAGGACCTTAAAAGTATTTTACTTCTATTTTCTACTGGGATTTCAAGCCCTCGGCAATATTTTACTAGTGTTCCATTTACCACAATACAGATTTAAAAAAAAAGGCCAATGTTTTTAATCAAATTAAGGAAAAAATATACAGCACTCTTTTTGTTTTCTTCTTCTTATTTAAAGGAATTGTCTAATGCAGAACAGTTGTTTTTGTCTTTTTCTTCTACTTCATTTTAGCCAAAAAAAGCGGGGTGGGGGGGTGGGGGGGTGGGGGGGAATGAAAAAAAAAAAAAAAAAAAAAAGCTGTCACAAAATTAAGCTTGTTTGCCCCCTGGTGGCATATCTGGTGAATAGCAAGCATTAGATTTGTCTGCCCTCTGGTGACAAGTACTATAATTACAGCAGAAGCTGAGTCTTGACAGACTTTCATGGCTGTGACAAAGGACCTTGTCAGATCGTTTTAATAACTAAATTATGAACCTTATTCTTCTGACTATGCAGGAGATTTCATTTTTCTCTTTATCAATGTTTTAATTTTCATACTAAATATTAATCCATCTTTCATGGTGAATAAAGTGGAAACTATTTTAAGTGTCATTGATAACAGCCAAGAACGTCTATGAAACTAGCATAATAAGAGAGATTTTTTAAGATCGAAAATAATCATATAGGTCATAATTTAAATATAAATTATTTCTTGGAAGTTTGGAACTATGGGAAGCAGATTGTTTTATAGTTCAGATATTCTCTCTGCAGGAAGTGGCGCTGTAGCTCAAGCGGTAGAGCGCTGGCCTTGAGCTGAAGAGTTGAGGGATAGCACCCAGGCCCAGAGTTCAAGCCCCATGACCAACAAAAAAAAAAAGAGAGATTGTCTCTGCATTGGCATTAGTCAACTTCCTAAGATATAGCCAATTAAAGGAAGACTTTAGATAGTATAGGATAGGCAGAATAGAACTTTTTTTAAAAGATGTTTCCTGGAAGTTTAATCCTTGCCTCATTCTGATGAAGAGGAAACATTTCAATGTTCCTCTCTCCTGGAGATTTATAGTCACATCTTTATAGTCAAATTTCTTCAGAGCTTTTTCTACTATAGCTTATAGAGCAAAGCAATGATGCCCATTTTGTTTTTTAAATAATGAAACTATGTTGAATACTGCTTTGCCTACACTTCACCTTCTCCACTCCTAGAATAATCCAAGCCATAGCATGCTATGAAGACATTTTAAAAACTCTAATTATCCCACTGATAGATGTACTGTGGTCAATCAGAAATGAACTCTCCATTCATTCTTAGTATCATCAATGACTTGCCTGTCAAATCCTTGCCATCTCTCTCTGAGTTAATGATTGATGAATTGCATGCTTATTTTTATTTAGTTAGTTGATTAATGGGCCTGGTAGGCACATGAATTCATACTTTGAGACTTGTCTGCCAGGTGGTTCTTGGGGTATGTGTAACCATGTACATGTAGGGATGTGTGCATGTGTGTGCATGTGTGCACACACATGTATGTGCAGGCATGTGTTCACACATGCACATTTGTGTGCATGTATGTGTGTGTGTTTATATAGTGAATGTCAGGTAAGGGTTTTGATAAAAGGAAGATCATTCAGACAGCCAGTGCAAAGACGGTAAAATATACAGATTTCCATGTGAATTATAACTAGATGTTGTATATATCCTGACCACAAGATGGAGATGTAACATAATCTTCCTTTGCCTCCTGCTAGTGAGAAGCAGAAAAAGAAGAGAAAAAAAACCCTAAAAATAATTGTTTTTTAAGAGAGAAAAAATCAGGTTTCAACTAGAGCAATTCTGTTTTTACACACCAAAGATAATGCCATTATTTTCTCTTTGACCCTATATCTAGTATATTTATGAAAAGTATTGGCTTTTGAAAATAATCTGTACAATATGGTGGATCAGAAGCTTCTCTGTCCTATCACGGGGGTCTACTGGAGGAGTCATATTCTGGGGTAACCCTGGTATAGGGGTGCAGAGCTCTGGAGTTAGGTTGTGGGACTCTGGTGTTGGATGGTGGAGCCCTGGTGTTGGGGGTAGGGCCCGGTGTTGGGGGTAGAGCCCCAGTATTGGGGGTAGGGCCTGGTGTTGGGTTGTGGAGCCCCAGTGCTGGGGGTAGAGCCCTGGTGCTGTGGGCAGAGCCCTGGTGTTGGGAGTAGAGCCGGTGTGGGGGTAGGGCCTGGTGTTGGGATGTTGATTCATTTTCAGTATTCACGTCAGATCCAACTGAGTTGTTTCAGATGGCTCTGCAGTTTTCCTCCCTCCCCTCTTTCCTTCCCTATTATTGCACACGAATGTCTCCTCTCTTCTGTTTGCTTTTTTTTGGCCTAAGAACTTTGCATAGCACGGAATTCGAGAATTCACAGTATGGCCTAACAGTTCTCACCCTGTACTTTCAGGCTCAGGACCCAGGGACACCTGTGGTCTGCATACCAGCAGGCCTTGCATCCTTCAGAACGTCAGTACATTTGTGCGAGGTCTAGGAAACACCTGCACACATTGACTGCTACTGGGCATTTAAGACACCAAACACACTTAGAAGAAAAGCTAAAGGAGAACAGAAAGAAGACACACCACTGGTCACATACCATACATCAGGACCCCTAGTGGCA